AAAAAAAAAAAAAAAAAAAAAAAAAGAAAGAAGCAGAAGGAAAAAAAACAAAAATTCCAGCCTCACAATTTAACAACCATTACCCACACAACACTCGTTCCGCGCAAAGCACAATTCAACCGTCACAATAATATTCAACGCACACCAGCGTCCCTTTCCTCGCGCCATCCACTTCCGTTCCGTCGAATTTCCAGCGGGCGCCGCGTTTAAAAAACACTCGGCCGATCCTCTCGCGTCTCGCGATCGTCGAGACAAAAGGGATTCGCAACGAGGTCAATAGCTGCGTGAGTAACGCCGACATTAATTCCACGGGCAACGGTCTCTATCGCGGGGCCCAACGGGGGAAAAAAGGACGATCTTGATTTTATCGTTTGATTAAAGCTCGATTCACACTAGCGACCACGATACGGCGAATCAGATCTCGGCGAATCAGCCATCGATCCAAATCGCTTACACGTACGCGTAATCCAATGAGAACATACGCAGTAATAAGTCAAATGAAAATCTGTTGACCGTGGCGTCGGTTTGTTAGCGATCGAAAGGCCGTGGTCAACATTCGAAAAGGAACATGAAGGACGAGCGTTTAATTCGATATATCGAGGACCATCGTTTCTTTGTAATAATTTGTAATGCAATATCCTGCTGGATTAAAATTAACGCGACTTTTATTAAAGTACAGTCGAAAAACGATATTGTTCCTTCTTCGAGCGAACGAATAAAAATGAGAGACATTGCGACGAGATTTGATTGTTTCTGGTGGTTTCGGTGTGAACGCCTCGGTGAAATCCTCGATTTTGATTGATCGCCATCTGACCGTACGTTTGGCCGTTAGTATGAATCAGGCTTTAAGCTGATGATCAAAGCTGGACGATGCGGCTTGCAAGGTTCGTGTAAACTGCAAACCGACGAACAATATTTGGTCCAGCAAGTTTTGTACCGAAAAATTGTAAATATTTGATGGCTCTTGATGACCGAAACAGTAAAGAATAATCAATTTTTGAACGAATGTAATCTAGCCGTTTCAAACCAAACTATATGGATTGCTGCGAATTGGTAAAAGTTTCACTGCTATTTTATATGTAGTTCTGATTTAATCCTATGGTTTCTATGAAAATCAGGCGCTACGTCGTGCAGTCTTCTCTGTAATTTAATTTTCCAATTCACGAACACTGTACAAAATCTATAATACGCAAACACGGTTTAAACGTCACTTTCTACAACCATAAAGAACATTAAATTAGAAATCAGCATTATTAAACTGTACTCTTTAAGACGTTCCATTTAAACAATCGTTACGAATAAATCGCAATTAGATTTGTAGTTCCTTAAAAATGTAGAAACTTAGAAAACAAAACGAAATAGTGTGGAATGATAAAAATTATGAGCTGTTCTCAACCAGACAGCCATCTCAACCAGACAACTGGCTAATATTCAACCGAAAGATATAAAAATTGAGAGCAAAACTGTAGAATAAAATATATAGTAAAACCATAGAGCAGAAAATCCAATAAAACTAACAAAAATTAATATTTCTCGGGTAAAATAATTTTGTCCCGTTGAATCGCTGAAATGTCATGTCGCGATATCAACGTTTATAGGGGCTGGACGCGCGACGTGTAAAGTTCGCGTGAACGTCGTACAGACGTTCAGCTCGGCTCGTTCACCGCCTATGAAAACATTTATATCGTCCAGCACTTTGTGACACAACACAAAGTAAAGGGAATTATGGCCGGCGAGCGCGTTCTTTCCGCTATTGTTTCCGAGGAGCTTCGTCGTGTCGTTCCGCGCCGCGCTCTTTGTGCTCACCTCGCGACGACCCGAACAACACGACCAATAACTTCTCGGCTGGAACGAGACTTTTATGGCCCAGATCCGCGATTTGGCCAGCTTTCGTGCAACTTTGCTTAACGATTGAAGCGAATTGAGGTTCCGTTTAATTCGAACCTGTTGGGATTTAGATTAGGCGACGCTATCGTGGACTTCGGTGTCAGTGGCTTTGGGGATGCTCGATAGAGTATTTAATCGTTAATTAATAAATTAAATTGTGTAGCGAGAAAATGTAACACGTGATCTGTGTGATGCTATATCACGTGTGATGTATCTCAGTGAACTTTTTGAACGATTTTTAAATTCTTGTTCGTTCGACGTATTTTTCCTCTATGATCTTCGAGTGTAATATTACCTTCCACCATTCATCCTTTTGGAAGGTTAATAGACAGATTTGAGTTAAAGGAGAATGCAAGGAGTTCCTTTAACGTGATAAACCCAAAGACTTAGTTCAGAGTCCAATAATTTTAGACAGTGGTGTTTACGCGTGTTGGAAGGAGAAGAAGGAGGAAAGGATGAAACAAGCAGCACTGCCACGAAGCTGTAACCTATTTACGCGTTAACTAGAATCCAGAACGCGTTTACCTGTTTGTCGGTAATCTCGTTACTCGTGATGCGTCGAGGCGGAGGACGAGCGTAACTTAAACCCGGCCGCAAGGTACTCGGTGCCGCGTTAATTCGACAATTGAAGGATTTGCCGGGAGAGCGATTTAACTCTCCGTCAAACGCGATGTTAAGTATTTAAAGCGATCGTGCTTCGCTTCGAAATCAGAGGATTTTCGCCGATTCGTCGATTTCGAGGTTGTAGAAGTTAGAAAATTTCCAATTTATTTATTTTTCCCTGCAAGAGGGTTTTTTTTTAGGTTTCTCATTATATTGGCTTGGATTCTTACCTACT